TTTCTCAGCTGTTGCAAGACCTGCTCCACGTGATGGGGATGTTCGGCCAGGTTCCGGGAGTAGATGAGAATGTCGTCGATGTAAACGATCACAGAGCGATGAAGGAACTCCCGGAACACCTCGTTCATAAATCCTTGGAATACAGAAGGTGAGTTAGATAATCCATACGGCATAACAAGATATTCATAGTGTCCGGTGGGCGTTATGAAAGCGGTCTTCCACTCGTCACCATGGCGGATACGAACGAGGTTATAGGCGCTTCGCAGATCCAGCTTGGAGAAGATACAAGCTCCACGAAGTTCCTCCAGGGCAGCAGGCACTAGTGGAAGGGGATATGGGTATTTGACAGTTTGAGAGTTGAGAGTTCTGTAATCAATACAAGGCCGCAAGCCTCCGTCCTTCTTGCCCACGAAAAAGAAACTGGATGCTGCCAGTGATGTGGAGGGACGGATGAAGCCTTGCTGGAGAGCCTCCTTAATGTAGTCCTCCATAGCTCCTTGCTCGGGGATGGACAATGGATGTACTCTACCCCTTGGGAGTTGAGCTCCAGGCAGCAAATCTATGGCACAGTCACATGGCCGATGAGGTGGTAATTTAGTAGCGGCCCGCTTGCTGAAATACAGTTCTGAAAACAATACTCACTCCAGTGAAGAACTTCGTTGGTGGTCCAGTTAATAATGGGAGAATGTAGGGCTAACCACGGGCGTCCCAGGAAGATCTCCACGGTGGAATCCTCCAGCACCAGAAAAGAGATGAGTTCCTCATGAAGGCACACAATGCGGAGCGTGATGGTGGGGGAGCATAATTGGATTTTACCACGACCCAAAGGCTTTCCTTGGATGGTGAGGATATTCAGAACATGAGCATTCTTCAGTGGTTTTAGTTGAAGTCTTTGGAGTGTGTTGCGGGATATGAAGTTACCTGAAGTCTACAAGGGCTTGCGCTGAAAGGGAATGGTGAGATGACATTAATAATACATTCATTCGAGTCAATGTAGCAATTTGAGGACTGAGCTGGATAGTACTCACCGTGGGTCATGCTGGTCGGATAGGACATGAGCGAATCAAATGTCCATGCTCCCCACAATATAGACATAGTCCCGAGGTCATCCTCCATGTTCGCTCCGCATGGGTGAGATGGTACGAATCCACTTGCATGGGTTCGAGTGCTGGAGGCGGATGTGGGCGGTGTGGAGAGTGGCATGGCATTTTTACAGGCATGGAGATGTTGAGAGATTTTGATAGCCTTCTGAATGAAGTTTTCCAAGCCCACTGTATCGTCAAAAATCACCATTTGTAGACGAATGTCGGCGTTAAGCCCTTGACCTGCGTGACCGAACTCCTCCTTGAAATGGGATGTAAATGTCGATAGAGTGCGAATGGCCTGGCTGTTAACTTCCCACATGGACTGGGCCCAGCGAAGAGCACGGCCTGCGAGATGAGAAATCATGAATGCAATTTTGGTGCGATCGTTAGGAAAGGCTTCAGACTGCATCTCAAAGTATAGGGAGCATTGTAACAGGAAGCCACCACAATCCTCCGCCTCACCGGAGAAGATAGCAGGCCGGGCCATGGGACTGTGGGAGGCAGATACAACGGGTGCTCGGATATCTTGAATCAAATCCTCCAGTGAAGCTGGGTTCTGTGGTTGAGGCTCCATGTTGAGCTTGGTTGGTCTGGTCTTCTGTCACAGTACAGAAGGAGACCAAAACGGAGATATACTGGTAAGAAGGGTTCTTTATTTAAACAGAGGTTCTGAGGGGAGAGATGCAGAGCAAACGGGTTAAATGAACAGAGTTCCAGAAACTGAAGGGATCTAGCTCACGTAATGACTGCTTCTTGTGTCTTTCTCAGATCTGACGGATGATGACTTTGACGAAGACAGGTGGGTGACAGGTTTGAGTCCAGGTGAGTGAGTCAGGTAAGGAGTAGCGTAGTGAACTCAAGACCAGACAAAGTGCAACTGCAGTGACTGAGTATTTGAGCTAGTGTTGATGAGGTGGTGACAGGTGCGGCTGGTTAGTAATCCAGTGATTGTGAACGGGTGTGTGAGGTGATTGGGCCTGACGAAGCTGGAGTATCCCTGACACAGATCATGCATCATGGAAATCTCAGATCAATTAATTAGCAGAAGTTATTACTCTACTATATGCATGTGATGTCATAAATGACAGCCTTCAACAGTATAGGCCTTCCATTGTCAATTGCATTAGTTCCTGTTGCGTGTTCTCAATCTGGCAACCCACATGAGTCTGATGAGGATGAGGAAAACAATTCTCAACAATATTTTTAATTTGGACTGCAGTACCCATTTCAGTCGCTAGCTGTCAAAATCACATACTGCACCTTTGAAATATTTCAGAGCACCTTTATTGAACCTGATTTCCAGAGTTTTACTGCACCATCAGAAGTTAGTAATTTCAGTGCAATATACTTTTCTGGATTATACAATCAATTATATTTTAATTATGCTTATATATTAATTTTATTGCCTCAGACAGACCAGTAAATTAGTTGTTAATTAATTTGTTTATTGTGTCTCTAAGCCAGAAGCTCGGTGTATTTAGTAGGCCTTGTGGTGACATTCAACAGTGCTAAAGGATGATCACTTAAGGTGACTAAATTCTACATGTGCTGCTTTTTTAAAGCTCTAACAAGAAGAAGTTACTCTGAACAACTGGTATTCCTGTGAACACAGAGTGACTTGATCTGCATACTATTATGAGTTGAAAGTTTGTGCAGACAGGCCACATTATTACAAATCTCAGCTTATTGGCTGAATCACTTTTAATGAGCTAAACATTATAATTTAACTTATACAGTGTTGTGGCAAAAACAATTATTAACAAATAGCATCACAGTGTAAGAGACAAGAAATCAAATTATATTTAAGGAAAGAAGTTTATTTTCCTTAAAGAGGTATGTTCACAATGTTTCAGCAGCTACCCTGAAACACAACAGACCTAAAATCACACTGAAAACAGACAGCCTTATTATACTGTTATCACCCCCCACTTCTTACAAGGTTCCTTCTCTGTAATTTTCCACTTAACCCCGTAAACCAAACCTAGCTGTTTTTAGAAAAAACAATGGTCCTTCTAACCCCCTGGGCTTTTATTATCTTCACATCTGTGAGGTCAACAACCCCTCTGTCTTTCCTGCACTAAAGAGTTCAAAGACTCTTTCTGATCATTTGTTTTTACTGTGTGTTTGTGTGCCTTCACACCCGTGAGGTCAAAGGTCTTTATTTATGACTAACCCCTCTGTCTTTCCTGATTAAATTACCCGTACTAAAGACTTCAAAGGCTCTCTGTTTTACTGTGTGGTGTCTCTGTTGCATTTCAGGTGACATATGTATACATATTGAGAGAGAAACACAAGTTAATTATTTATATATATATATAAATAAAAACCCACAATGTCTAAGAAAGTAAATAAGAAAGAGTAAAACATTAATTTTCCTACAACATACAGTAATGTGCCTTATTAATCTGCTGCTGTGAGAATGTTACAGTTTTCATTCTTTAATGAAGTTTTATTATATTGCATGTGTTGAGATTGAAAGTACGTTCTTAAATGTTTGATGCTTTTTTCAGGTTGTAAGAAAGATGTTGCTGGATAGTGGATACTGGCAAAATGAAAGGATGACAAAGATCTATTTCATACACCAACATAACTTTAGATTTTATCCTATTATTCATATTCTTTATTTAGATTGACATTGCAAGCAAGCATTATTAGCTTTTTTATGTTTGTTTGTATAGGCCACAGATATAATAAGAATATTAACCATGTAGCCAAATGGATCTGTCTGCTCACTGGTCCTGACATTACACTCTATGAAACTGCCTGAGACAAGCATTTATCCTGCATTCATATTTGGATTAATAACATACTTGTTCATCTTACTCTGCAGTGTAACAATTGTTGTCACCATTTGCTTGAACATAAATCTTCACAAACCAATGTACATACTGTTTGTTGCTCAACCTGGAAATCAATGATGATCCGAGCTTGTTCCTAGTTTCCTACGCAGAGTGTTTTCTATTTCCAATTTTATCTTTCCTCCTCTTGTGAATCCATTTGTGTATGGTTTTAAAACTAAAGAGATCAGACAGAAAATTTTAACCTATTTCAAAAACAAGAAGATAAGCAGTTTCTGATGTAATTAGATCTGTGTGTGAAATTATCATAAACTGATATTATATGTAACTTATTTTCTGCTAAGTGCGTGGGGATGCCATTTCGCCATTTTAAAGCTTAACCTGTTTATCATATTGTAATCTAGATCGAAGCAGTCAGCTTCTTTGACAGAATGTAGAAATTCCCTTTACACAGATACATTTTCTGAAAGTGTCTAAAAATAGGCAGATTACTGAAATTAAATGAATAGCATTCCCCAGGTCATGTGATGTTGATATTTGTTGTTTTTAGGTTCTTTAGGTTCTCAATCAACGTTGAGTCAACATCAAATTGGTGTCAAATACTGACGTCAACCCAATTTTCATTCTCAGCCAAAATGCAACGTCTGTCCAGTGTCATGTCCAATGTCAACCTGACATTATATTGACGTCTTGTGCCTGCTTGGATGCGTTCTATCTATTAGACATGGTGTTAGAAGTGTAGTGTCACTCTTTTCTCCTCAACCACACCTGAAGTCAAGCTATTTCTTTATTTTGGGTGGGTGGGGGGATCGATACAGTATAGTATTGCAATATTGCCTGGCGATATTGTATCAAGACATAGACGGGTGGAATTTCAGCACGGGATTGTATTGCATGCACTTTTACTCATTCCCAAAAGCTCCGTGCATAGGAGGGTGAAAGGGGAAAAACATGACATCCAAATTGTAAAACATCAACCCAAAAATATACACATTCGATATGTAACCAATATGGATATGATGGGAAAATGGCTTAAGGAAAACCTCATTATACCAATTTAGAAAAGTATTGAACCTGAATGTCAATTAAACATAATTAAATGTAGTAATCCTTAAAAATGTATTTAGAATATGACAGGTATATCGCTATCTGCTGCCCGCTGAGATATGGAGCCATTATGACTACCAATAACTTGGTGAAAATCATAACTGGGATGTGGCTTTTAAATTTTATTCTTATAACTGTAGTTTTCTCCATTCTGGTACCTTACAGGATTTGCCAGACACACATGACAGATCTAGTCTGCTATAAGACCGCATTAATGAAACTCTTATGTGACGGCACAGAGGTGAACAATATCGTTGGGTTAAGTTGCATCATTTTTTACCACGGCCTTTCACTTTCTGCTGTGGCATTTACATACATTCATATATTAATCACTTGTGTTACTAATAAGCAGTCTGATGCAAAGATTAAGGCACTTCAGACATGTGGTACTCATTTGGTCGTCTTCCTGTTGTTAGAGTTTAACACACTGTTTCCTAGTGTTGCTCATCGATCTGAGTTTGTTCCCGCTTTCCTACGCAGAGTTGTTTCTATTTCCAATTTTGTCTTTCCTCCTCTTGTGAATCCACTTATTTATGGTTTTAAAACCAAAGAGATCAGACAAAAAATTTTCACCCGTTTCAAAAACAAGAAGATAAGCAGTTTCTGATGTAATTAGATCTGTCTGTCAAATTATCATGAACTGATATTAAATGTTAAACTTTTTTTCTGTTACACAAGTGCCTTGGATGCAAATTAACCATTTTGCTTAACCTGTTTATCATTTTGTAATCTAGAAGCGGACCGTTTGTTTGACAGACGGCCTTATAAAAATTCCCTTTGCACAGACACATTTTCTGAAAGTGTCTACAAATAGGCAGATTAATGAAATTAAATTAATAGTATTCAGCTAGTCATGTGATCTTAATATGACAGCCACCATGATAGGACGACCATCCTTATAGAAACAATTTTGTTTGACACAAGATGACACAAGTCTTAAAATGAAGTCAGTGTACTTCATTTTTAACATATACTATTTGATTTTATAGTTGTACGTCTTTTTCCATCTTAATAATTAGGAAAAAGCAATTGTTTTATATTTAGCAAAAGAGCTACAGGAGAGGATTGCAATGCAGTGTGCATGACGTTATTGGTTTACAATGTTCAATGCAACAGTTTAAATAAAAGAATTGTATATAATCACAATAGTTATTTTATTGTCCTACACTAATAGCTGAATTTGTTTCTCTCCGCAACAGCTTGAGGCTGTCCACACTGGACGTGACAAAGCAACCATTGCAGATCTTTTGTACTTTGTGTCAGTACTAATAAATAGAACGAGGAATCAGTTTACTGTCGAGGATTTGTCATTTTGCATTGCGCCGCTGGTGTCCAGTGTGGACGCGGTGTTAGAAGTGTCATGCCACTCTTTTCTCCTCAACCACACCTGAAGTCAAGCTCTTTCTTTATTGTGGGTGGGTAAGGGGATTGATAGCCTACAGCATAGTATTGCAATATATTCCTTGGCGATATTGTATCGAGACACGGACGGGTGGAATTTCAGCACGGTATTGTATTTACTCATTCCCATAAGCTCCGTACAGGAAGGTGAGAGGGGAAAAACATGACATCCAAATTGTAAAACAATTAGTATCTACTACTAATAAAAATAACACATTACACATGATACATATTTATCACAGATTGCAGTGAATGGCAGTGAGGAAGTAGGATTCAGATGTAGCAGTACCTAAATTTTATTAAGAAGATTACTGAACTCAGGGAATCATTATACCCATTTTGAAAAGTCTTATACTTGAATGTCAATTACGTTTACGCACGAATAATGTGATTATTTCCAATAATCAAAGTAAGGACTTAATCGCATTATGATGTTTACATATCAAGAGCTCTTCACTCCCGCTTACATGCAATTTCCATTATTCTTATTATTTGCTAAGAATTGTGGTTCATTTTTTTACTGCCATTATTCACATACCCACTGCACAACACAAATGATGGACTCAGAAAGAGCAGGTGTGTTACTGGCCGCTGTTTGAATTTATTTATATCTAATGCAAAACACTTTTGTATGGTTGTATAACATGCTTTTAGAAATGTGATGGCAATGAATTAATTAATTTGCCTACGCTGCCGTCGCGTTCTACGCGCCATTTCTGGATTAGGGTAAGGAACAGAGACTAGTGGCAGCGAGTTGTGTTTTCCCAAGAAATGCGATGCTGTCTTCCCTGCCATCATTTCTAATCTGCGTATTATTGCAGGTGCGTGTCATGTCATTCATGTACGTCACAAGCACATGTGCACTTTGGTCAGAGTGGCAATGTGATTAAGGTGTTTACATGCCTGTATATTTCTATTAAAATCGGCATACGCCACCTGCGTTAATACGATTATGCTTCCTGCGATTATGAGCTTAATCGCATTATTTAGATCGAAGTATTGCGTTTACATGAGGTAAAGTTTAATCGCAATATTGTCAAAATCTCATTATAATCGCATTAAGATGGTGCATGTAAACGCACTGAATTAGACATAATCAGATGTTGTAAGTGATAAAAATGTATTTAGAAAAACTGGTAACACTTTATATTAAGCTTCCCTTTATAAAGGGTTTACAAAGGTGTTAGTAAATGACTAATTTACTAATTTTCTGGTGAAATAAAATGTTATTGTTGTTGCACTACATCAGTAAACAACTTTCAACTTGAAACAAAAAGATTAATCTTTACTGAGCATAACATCACACAAAAAAAGTGGCTTATACAAGTAAACTCACATTATAACTAAACATTAAATCCATACAACAAAAATATTTGATAAATGCAAGCTCAATAAATGCACCTACATACTTTTATTTCATCTAATTTAACAGTTTTTAAATAATTATTAAATCACTGAAAGCACCGTTACAGAACTTGCGGTACCTGCGTGTGGAACCGTCCGTGGAAGCGCCAGCACGGTTATTTATTTGTATGGTAACAAATTAATTTGAACTAACAAAGCGATTACACATATAAACACTTGAAAAATATAATCTGCAGTGTCACCTCACAGTTGAATGACCCATAAAATTAATAAACACTATGTGAGATTATAATTTAGCTTCAGAGCACGTTGGAAAAGTTTTAACAGCATGACTTCTTCTTTGAAAACGTGACTTTACATCGGAGTCTCGCTAGCGCCAACTAGAGGCTTTGGTAACACACAGGCAACTACAGACACAGGCTTTGGTGATGTGATCCTGAAAGAATATAATAAAAATACATTATATGCAATGAATTATTTTTATTAGTAGTAGTAGTATCTACTACTAATAAAAATAACACATTACACATGATACATATTTATCACAGATTGCAGTGAATGGCAGTGAGGAAGTAGGATTCAGATGTAGCAGTACCTAAATTTTATTAAGAAGATTACTGAACTCAGGGAAATGTAGGAGAACGAACTACCCAAATGACACGTCTGTGTGTGGTGGCTCTTGATGCCTTGACCCCAGCCTCAGTCCATTCCTTGTGAAGTTCACTCAAATTCTTGAATCGATTTTGCTTGACCAGTTATGTTAGACCAGTCTTTTGCTTTTCAAACCTGCAGTAGAACTCGTTCAGGTCTTTAGCCAGTTGTTGATTGGCCTCAGTGCTGGGGGATGGGGTCTTGTAACTGGTGATGGCTTTCAAGCCTTTCCACACTGATGTAGAGTCATTACTTGAAAGCAGTTTTTCAGAGTCTTTGCCACTCTTATCTCCCTATTTAGTGTGTATTTGGCCTGTTAGTACAAGGCTTGTAAATCCCGCTCTGCTTCAACAGTCCATCTCTTTACAGTTTTTACTACAGGCTTAGCAGATTTAAGTTTCTGGGTGTAGGCTGGTAGAAGATTAATCAAACAGAGAGTCCCAGAGCTGCATGGAGGACAGAGTGCTGTCCCTAGGAGGGCATGTGATGTGCTGTCTGTATTTAGGCAGTTCATGGGTGAGATAAGCTTTATTAAAATCACCGAGAATGATAATGAAAGAGTCCGGGTAACGCTACTCTGTGTGTGTGATTTGATCGGCCAACAGTTCTAGCGCCGCACTCACTCGCGCATCAGGAGGAATGTACACACTCACCAGAATAAACAAGGAAAACTCCCGCTGCGAATAATAAGGCTTACAGTTAATAAACGTGGCGCTCACACACGTGTCAGGAGGAATGTACACACTCACCAGAATAAACTCCCGCGGTGAATGAAAAGGCTTACAGTTAATGAAAAGAGCTTCCAAATTTGGGCAGCACATCTTCTTTAAAATTGTCACGTCTGTACACCAGCCTTCATTGATATAAAAACATAATCCACCGCCTCTTGTTTTCCCAGAGGACTCGGTGACGCACTCCGCTCTGAACAGCTAGAAGCCCGTTAGATGTAGCGCGCAGTCCGGGATGACTCTGTTCAGCCAGGTTTCCGTGAAGCAAAGTGCAGCAGAGTTTAAAAAGGCCTTGTTTGTGTGGGTGAGGAGTTGTAGTTCGTCTGATTGATTTGCTAGGGAGCGGAGATTCGCCAGATGAATGCTCGGCAGCGGAGTCCTAAAACCGCGCTGTCTGAATTTCACGAGCGCACCAGCACGTTTCCCTCGCTTGCATCACCTGGAGCGCTTGTATAGGAAAGCAGCTCCTCCGACTAAAATGTCCAGTAAAACATCTGAATGCTCAAACATCAGCAAGAAGTTATTTGGTGTGGAATTTTTGATGTCCAGGAGTTCGTTTCTTGTAAAGCTGATCGGAAAAAAATAGCTTAGGACAGGACAAACAAACAAAAATAGTACAAGTACCAAGGAACAGCAAACCGAGGCTGCCATATGCGGAGCCATCTTGCATCATTAACCTACACATAGTAGCCAGAAAGAAATGCTAATTTTAAAGAAAAATGTCTGACGTACTTAGAGGCTTTTGCATCTGAACTATTCATATATATATATATATATATATATATATATATATATATATGTGCATGTAAGTAATTGAATTCAAGTAATTCAAGGGGCAAATATAAATATACTTTTTTCATATGTCTTATATATATAAAGACATTTGAAAAACTTATATTTATATTTGCCCCTTGAATTACTTGAATTTGCTCTAATACTGTGGTTAATGCTTCATCTTATGCCTAAAAACACCCCTTACCCATCATAAAAACATCCAGAAGGGAGGCCTGCTTTTTTCCCTACTCATCTTTTCTGACTGTTTTTCACTAGTTTTGCATGTGGCTAGGGTCAGTGTCACTACTGGTAGCATGAGGCGATACCTGGACCTTACAGAGGTTGCACAGGCAGACCAACTCCTCCAGGATGGCACATCAATACGTGCCATTGCCTTAAGGTTTGCTGTGTCTCCCAGCACAGATTCAGGAGCATGGAGGAGATTCCAGGAAACAGGCAGTTACTTTGGGAGTGCTGGACAGGGCCGTAGAAGGTCCTTAACCCATCAGCAGGACCAGTGTCTGCTCCTTTGTGCAAGGAGGAACAGGATGAGCACTGCCAGAGCCCTATGAAATGATCTCCAGCAGGCCATTGGTGTGAATGTCTCTGACCAAACAATCAGAAACAGACTTCATGAGGGTGGCCTGAGGGCCCGACGTCCTCTAGTGGGCCCTGTGCTCACTGCCCGGCACCGTGGAGCTCGATTGGCATTTGTCATTGAACACCAGAATTCGCAGGTCCGCCAGTGGCGCCCTGTGCTTTTCACAAATGAGAGCAGATTCACTCTGAGCACATGTGACAGACGTGAAAGGGTCTGTAGAAGCCGTGGATAACATTATGATGCCTGTAACATCGTTCAGCATGACCGGTTTGGTGGTGGGTCAGAGATGGTCTGGGGAGGCATATCCATGGAGGGACGCACAGACCTCTACAGGCTAGACAATGGCACCCTGACTGCAATTAGGTATTGGGATGAAATGCTTGGACCCATTGTCAGACCCTATGCTGGTGCAGTGGGTCCTGGGTTCCTCTTGGTGAACGACAATGCCCGGCCTCATGTGGCGAGAGTATGCAGGCAGTTCCTGGAGGATGAAGGAACTGATACCACTGAATGGCCCCCACGCTCGCCTGACCTAAATCCAATAGAACACCTCTGGGACATTATGTTTCGGTCCATCCGACGGCTGCACCTCAGACTGTCCAGGAGCTCAGTGATGCCATCCGTCGTATCATTAGGAGCATGCCCCAACGTTGTCAGGCATGCGTACAAGCACATGGCAGTCATACAAACTGCTGGGTACCATTTTGAGTTGCTGCAATTAAATTTCAGCAAAATGGACTAGTCTGCTGCATTACTTTTTCACTTTGATTTTCGGGGTGTCTTTGAATTTAGCCCTCTGTAGGTTGATCATTTTCATTTCCATCAAACGATGTGGCATCCTTTCGTTCCTAACACATTACCCAGTCCATTTCAGTGTAGATATCCAGCATGATATTTTCCCCATTGAGATCTGATGTGTTGTAGATTATCAACATTAGAAATCTGTGAAAATTCATGTAAATTATATGTTGTTATTCAATTTCTGATCCTTTTTGGTGTGCAAATTTGTGACCTCTTTTGCATTTTTTGTTATGTACTGTTATATTTGGGAAATAAAAAAGATTACATCACGAAAGCCTGTGTGTCTGTAGTTGCCTATGTGTCACCAAAGCCTCTAGTTGAGCATCCGATGTAAAGTCGCTTTTTCAAAGAAGAAGAAGTCATGCTGTTAGAACTGTTACAACATCCTCTGAAGCGAAATTATAATCTCTCATAGTGTTTATTCATTTTACGGGTCAGCTAACTGTGAGGTGACACTGCAGAGTATATTTTTCAAGTGTTTACATGTGTAATCACTTTGTTAGTTCAAATTTATTCGTTACTATACAAATAAATAACCACGCCGGCACTCCTGCGGACAGTTCCCGTGCACAGGTACTGCGAGTGTGGATGAGCAAATGCTCAAGTTACAGGGGCCTTTATTATGTTATGAAACATGTTTTATCAATATAATAATGTTGATGTTCTGTATTGGTGCTTTCAGTCATTGATTTAATAATTATTTCAAAACTGTTAGATAAAATAAAAATATTTGGGTGCCTTCATTGAACTTGCATTTATCAAATATTTTTGTTGTATAGATTTGATGCTAAGTTATAATTTGATGGAATACTTTATTGTGTTTCTGGATCGTTTAATGTGAGTTTACTTGTATAAGCCACTTTCCATGTGCAGTGCTCAGTAATGTTGTTTCAAGTAGTTTTGTTTACTTATATAGTGCATCAACAATAAAATACATTTAACTGAAAAAAACCCTCTTCTGTGTGTGTATTAATAACTAATAAATGATTAGTGTGTCCACTTTACTTTAAAGTTCACTTTCACAGGTTAATGTTGTTCATAACGCCTTAATAAATGGCTCACAGGTGTTCACTTTACATTAAGGTTCACTTTCTCAGGTTACTAACGTTTATAACTCATTAATGGTTAGGGTGACCATACAGGCCATTTTTACGGGACGCGTCCTTGCCAGGATTTCTATATTTCCTCAAATATCCAGGTTTTGGCTGTTTGCACTGTGCAGATTGATTGTTGTATGACATTAACGAGAGCTATAGAGAGCAGAGCAGATGGCTCCTTCTGCTTTTGAATTGCTCTTGCAGTACTTTGATGTCATGATCGGTGCGCAGCGACTTTTCAAGACGAACGAACGAAGAAACCCATGCGAGTATTGGCATCGCTTTGATCGTTCTCTGTAGATCTCACCTTCTCACACACCACGATTGGTCGATTATGTACAATTATGTACTTTGGATGTTTTAGGCAATATAAAAATCCTGGCCAGGACGTGTCCCGTATAAATGGCACGTATGGCCACCCTATTAATGGTTCACAGGTGTTCACTTTACATTAACTTTCGCTTTCACAGGTTACTAACGTTTATAACTCATTAATAAATGGTTCACAGGTGTTCACTTTACATTAAGGTGCACTTTCACAGGTTACTAACATTTATAGCTCGTTAATAAATGGTTCACAGGTGAACACTTTACATTAAGGTTCACTTTTAGATGTTATTAACATTTATAACTGATTAATAACTGGTTCACAGTTGTTCACGTTACATTAAGGTGCACTTTCACAGGTTATTAATGTTTATAAATCATTAATAAGTGGTTAATTGCATTAAAGTTCACAGGTAATATTGGAATTAAAATGTTCAATATTAATATCTCATCAAGTCATGGATGTGCATTTATGATTTTTCCCCAAAATAAAAACCATGATAATTTCATCTTGATAAACAAAATATATCAGTTTCTAATCATTGCTGTGGATAGGCATCATGAACTTTTGCGGAGAATCATGGGTAAGGTACAGAGTAGATTCTGGTAAGAAACATCGTAAGAAAAGTGACAAGTCATGAGATATAAATGAGAAAGCCATAAATGCAACACCATTTAGTCTTGCTATAATAGTTAATTTTTGCTACATCATGAAATTTCACGCATCATGAAATGAAATTTTGAGTGAAATTAGTATTAATAAATATATTTATCAAGCATTTATAACATGTGAGTTAAAAATGGCTCACTATTTGGTGGGTATTGCATTTAAATCACCCTTTTTAATCATGCATTTATGACTGCTTATCAGTGATTTATAATGCATTTGTAAATGGGTTATTGGTCATTTATTAACACCTTTATAAACCCTTTATAAAGGGAACCTTAATGTAAAGTGTTACCCATAAACTTTCAAATGTGGCTAATAATCACAAGCCTGATATGAGCCACATGCTCGCAGGTTTGATCTGGGCCACACACCTCCTTCCAGCAGTTGGCTTTATGTTGTTAGCTGTCACACATAGTGCAATTGCCATGCGTGGCCATCCTTGGGCTGACAAGGTGCATTTCAGAGACCATATTCACACTAAGATTGTCTGCTGTGTGGGAAGTCATAGCATAGCATATATTTATTAATCTAAATAAAAGATTTTCATCAACCAAAAGGGTTAACTGACATTTTATTTGTCAACAACCCAGGTACAATGTGATATTTTAGTATTCTTAGCAACTTTTGAATGACAAAGCAGAAAGATGCTTTTTAAATCAGATTATGTAGGGTGCAGTTACAATATCTACCAGCAGGGCTGTGCACGTGCTACAAAACAACACCTATTCCTATGACTAATGCAACACAAATGGGAGTTTATCCACCCAACTCCATGAGTATAAATCTTTTGCCCACAGGTGGCATTCAACAGTGCTGAAGGATGATCACTTAAGGTGACATTATGCATGACAATTTGTGCAAATAGACAACATTATTTTAAAACAACTGTGTACTGGTTTTAAGCAAATAAGGACTAGCAAATATTTAAAATATACTGTGAAAGATGAGCCTTATTAATCTGATGAAATGTGGATTTTAACAAAAAAAAAACTCATATTGTGGCAAATTTAGCCTGCTGTTGTTTAATGTTTATTCCTTTTTTAGGTTGTACCCTAAGTAAGATGATGCTGGAAATGGCTAAATGAAAGAATGAAATGGATGAATGTTGGACACCAACTTCTCATAAGTTCTGGCAAGATTTTCATTTATTATTTTTGATAATTACTCTATTTATATTGATAGCATTAACAGCTTGTTGGTGGTTTGTGTAGGCCTTTAATAGTAGGAACATTCATCATGTATCCAAATGGATCTGTCCTCTCACTGGTCCTGACTTTGCACTCTCTGGAACTGCCTGAGACGACCATTTATCCTGCATTCATATTTGGATTAACAACATACTTGTTTATCTTACTCTGCAATCTCACAATTATTATTACAATTTGCATGAACAGAAATCTTCACAAACCAATGTACATACTGTTGCTTAACCTGCCAATCAATGATGCAATGAATGCTACAAGCCTTTTTCCTCACCTGCTGTATAGTATATGGTCTCAGGACAGATCAATATCCTATCCTGCATGTTTTCTTCAAGGCTTTTTCGCACACCTGAATGGTGGAGCATCTTATCTTATTCTTACTGCTATGGCCTATGACAGGTATATCGCTATCTGCTGCCCGCTGAGATATGGAGCCATTATGACTACCAATAACTTGGGGAAAATCATTACTGGGATGTGGCTTTTAAATTTTTTTCTTATAATAGTAGTTTTCTCTCTTCTATTACCTTACAGGATTTGCCAGACACACATGACAGATCTAGTCTGCTATAGGTTAACTGATATTTTATTTGTCAGCAACCCAGGTATAACGTGATATTTCAGTATTTTTAGCTAATTTTGAATGACAAAGCAGAAAGATGGTGTAGCTACGACATCTACCAGCAGGGCTGTGCACATGCTGCAAAACAGCACCTGTTCCCATGACTAATCCAACGCAAACAGGAGTTTTTCCACCCAACTTCATGAGTATAAATCATTAGCCCACAGGTGATATTCAACAGTGCTGAAGGATGATCACTTAAGGTGACATTACGCATGACTCTTTGTGCAAATAGACCACATTATTTCAAATCTCAACAACTGTGTATTGGTTTTAAGCAAATGAGGACAAACAATTATTTAAATTATACAGTGAAAGATGTGCCTTATTGATCTAATGAGATGTAGATTTTACAAAAAAAACGTTTGTTGAACGTTTATTCCTTTTTTAGGTTGTAGCCTAAGTAAGATGATGCTGGATATGGCTAAATGAAAGGTTGAAATGGATAAATGTTGGACACCGACTTCCCATAAGTTCTGGCAAGATTTTCACTTCTTATTTTTGATAATTGTTCTTTATTTATATTGATAGCATTCACAGCTTGTTTGTGCTGGTTTGTGTAGGCCGTTAATAGTAAGAACATTCATCATGTATCCAAATGGATCTGTCCTCTCACTGGTCCTGACTTTGCACTCTCTGGAACTGCCTGAGACGACCATTTATCCTGCATTCATATTTGGATTAACAACATACTTGTTTATCTTACTCTGCAATCTCACAATTATTATTACAATTTGCATGAACAGAAATCTTCACAAACCAATGTACATACTGTTGCTTAACCTGCCAATCAATGATGCAATGAATGCTACAAGCCTTTTTCCTCACCTGCTGTATAGTATATGGTCTCAGGACAGATCAATATCCTATCCTGCATGTTTTCTTCAAGGCTTTTTCGCACACCTGAATGGTGGAGCATCTTATCTTATTCTTACTGCTATGGCCTATGACAGGTATATCGCTATCTGCTGCCCGCTGAGATATGGAGCCATTATGACTACCAATAACTTGGGGAAAATCATTACTGGGATGTGGCTTTTAAATTTTTTTCTTATAATAGTAGTTTTCTCTCTTCTATTACCTTACAGGATTTGCCAGACACACATGACAGATCTAGTCTGCTATAAGACAGCATTAATGAAACTCTTATGTGACGGCACAGAGGTGAACAATATCTTTGGGTTGAGTTGCATAATTTTTTATCACGGCCTTTCATTTTCTGTTGTGGCATTTACATACATTCATATATTAATCACTTGTGTTACTAATAAGCAGTCTGATGCAAAGATTAAGGCACTTCAGACATGTGGTACTCATTTGGTCGTCTTCCTGTTGTTAGAGTTTAATACTCTTTTTCCTCTTATTTCACATCGATCTGAGTTTGTTCCCGCTTTCCTACGCAGAGTGTTTTCTATTTCCAATTTTATCTTTCCTCCTCTTGTGAATCCACTTGTTTATGGTTTTAAAACTAAAGAGATCAGACAGAAAATTTTCACCTGTTTTAAAAACAAGAAGATAAGCATTTTCTGATGTAATTAGATCTGTCTGTGAAATTATCATGAACTGATAATATATTTAACTTTTATTTATCACACAAGTGCCTTGGGTGCAAATTCATCATTTTGCATAACCTGTTTATCATATTGTAATCTAGAAGCAGTCAGTTTGTTTGACAGACGCCCTTATAAAAATTCCCTTTGAAGATTTTCTGAAAGTGTCTAAAAAAATAGGCAGATTACTGAAATTAAATGAATAGTACTCAGCTGGTCATGGGATCTCAACATGACAGCCACCATGAAGGGACGACCCTCCTTATGGAATCAATTTTTCTAGGCCACTGATGACACAAATCTTTATGTAAGTGTAGCCTACTTAATTTTAAACATATTTGTACTATTAATGTTTGTAGGTGTACATTTTTTCCATCTTAAAAATAAAGAAAATGCAATTGTTTGAAACTTCACAAAAGAGCTACAGGAAAAGGATTGCATTGCAGTGTACATGACATTGTTCGTTTACAATGTTCAACACAACAGATTAAATAAAAAACTGTGTAAAATCATAGTTATTTTATTGCCACACAACAAATATTTTGCCTGATATTTTGCCATACGATACTGTATCAAGACATGGATGGGTGGAATTTCAGCATGGGATTGTATTGCATGCACTTTTATTCATTCCCCTAAGCTCCATGCGTAGGAGGGTCAAAGGGAAAGAAACATGACATCCAAATCGTAAAATACTAACCCAATAACATACACACATGTTCAATAAGTAACAAAATATGGAAATTATTGGAAATTGGCTTAAGAATAAACCTGTTTATACAAGTTTAGAAATGACTTGCAGTTCACTATCAATTAGACATCAATCCCAGGATTGATCTGGGCCACAGACCTCCTACCAGGAGTCAGTCTTATGATTTGTTGTCATGCCATCATTGCTATCCATGGCCCTCCTTTGGCTGACGAGGTGCATTCCAGAGACCATATTGACACCAAAATCGTCTGCTGTGTGGGAAGTCATAACATAGCATATATTTATTAATCTAAGTGAAAGGTTTTCATCAACCAAAAGGATTACCTGACATTTTATTTGTCAACAACCAAGGTACAATGTGATAGTTTAGTATTTTTAGCAACTTTTGAATGACAAAGCAGAAAGATGCTTTTTAAATCAGATGGTGTAGCTACGCTATCTACCAGCAGGGCTGTGCACATGCTACAAAACAACACCTGTTCCCATGACTAATCCAACACAAACTGGATTTTTTTTCCAACCAACTCCATGAGTATACAATTCAATTCAAGTTTATTTGTATTGCGCTTTTCACGATACAAATCGCTGCAAAGCAACTTTACAGCAAATTAAGTTTCTACAATATTTTTCTTTCACATCGATCTGAGTTTGTTCCTGCTTTCCGACGCAGAGTGTTTTCTATTTTCAATTTTATCTTTCCTCCTTTTGTGAATCCACTTGTGTATGGTTTTAAAACAAAAGAGATCAGACAGAAAATTTTCACCAGTTTCAAAAACAAGATATACAGTTTCTGATGTAAATGGCTCCTTGTGTGTTTTTCCCAAAATAACCACTAGATAGTCAAGATACATTGTAATTGAGATATCTTTTTGTAAAAGATACATTTTTGTTATTGCTATGGACTGTGTTGACAAGTGTGATGTAGAAGTGTTCACCATGAAGCTTACACTGGTAATTTACCTGAGAGAAAACAGATTTCACAGTAAGTGATCTGATCTCTGATGATTTCCTGGTTTTATGAAGCCCCTCCCTCAGAAATACACAATGGGCTTAAGTATAGGGGTGCGTCTCAATCAGCACCCTAGCTCCTGAGCTCGTGTACATGAATTCAGTCACTGGTAAGTTCCCTGACTCACTGCACGTTGGGACAGTGATCACTCGAATTCCAGTGACGATGATTATGTACAGCGTCAACAGACAACATAGTAGAACGTCACCGCTTGCATTAATAAACAACAGAGAGGACCGATCTCTTTTTGATATTATTTTTTATTCTCTTTAAACACATCATTTTGTTACATGTTCTTACAACTTTCAGCCGAATATTAATTATAAATGTTAAAGCTCCCATATTGTCAAAACTGAAATTTCCTGGCTTTTTTCATGATAACTGAGGTCTAGGTGCTATGTAACTACCATATAAGGTTCAAAACAGTCAATCCACAGTCAAAAGCACACAGCCTGCATAAAGTAGCTGTGATATTTCACGAACCGTTGTGAATTCCGTAAAAAGGTGACCTCAGAACTACACAGTCACCGCCTTCAGTCACCACCCCGAGCACTGCCCACAGTCCCACTCTCCTTTTGCCAAACCCCCAGACAACATCGCGTCCATGCCATTGCTGAGCAACAACAACACGGAACCATGTTGAGAAAACGCTGTTCAGTCTGGATGTCAGGAAACTACATCATTGCACAGTAGGGCTGTGACGGTCGCCGTGACAACCGCATCAACCGTTGTCTATTGCCACCGGCGGTAGTGCACGTGACATCACACACTCTATAATAAGCATAATACAAAGTTTTGTATACAAGCGTAATAAAAGCAACAGTTGCAAATTGTTTTATTGAGACTATAAGTCT